TTTGTTTGTTAATATCTTTCCCAACTCTAATTTTTCTTTATACAAAGATACCGACACGATTCTGTTGGAAAATGTCCTTTAAAAATTTTCTTTATTTTGGAATAGGACCAAATTTTTCGGATGTCTATTTTACCCCACTCTTGAATAATTTCTAAGTTGTGGACTTTGCCAAGAAGCAATTTTTAAAAATCAATTATTGAAAATGTTTTGAGTGTTCATTTTAGTCCCGTCCATACAGATTTATCAGGTGTCCATAATGCCCAATGAATCAATTTTTAAAATTTTGAATTTTGCAAAAAAAAATTTTTTCGTCAATTTTTGAGTGTCCATTTTATTTCAGTTCTCCATATTACCCCGCCCCCTCTAATTTTTTTAAAAACCGGAGAATTTTCCTAGAATTTTCTCGAAAACCTAAGAATTATCTACAACTGTCTCGAAAACCCAAGTTTTTTCTGGAATTTTCTAGAAAACTGAAGAATTTCTTCGAACGTGCTCGGACACCCTAGAATTTCCTCGAATTTTGTTTGAAAACTCTAAATATCCCTGTAATTTTTTCGAAAACTGGAGAATTTTTAGGAATTTTCGCAGAAACCGCAGAATTCTCTCGAAAATCGGAAATATTTCTCGAAAACTTCATAGGAAATATGAGAAGATCTACCGGAAAAAATAAACACGAACAAAATAAGAAACAAAAACTGCGGGGTCCCTTCCAAGCCCCACTTTTATATGTCACCCTGGTTTCCTGCCATTCCCGCAGTTACCGACATAGCTATGGTCGGGATAAAGCTTCTTGCTTTGACCGCAAACTGGGGGGGCGTAAAATCGCCAGTCGGGAAAAAAATCCCTCCAACCGGGCCTTAAATTGAAGAGGAATGTCAAAAAACCTTTTATGTCATTAGGCCCGATAAACTTCGCTCGCTCGGTCACATCGCAATTTTCGGGCCCAATGACATAAAATACGGTATGTCACATGGCGATAATAGTATATTATGTCATTAGGCGATAAATATTATTTGGCGAATGTGGCTTTATATTCCGAGCCGAAGGCGAGGATTATAATCGCATTCGCTAGATAATGCTTTTATCGCCATGTGATATACGCTATTTTATGTCGTTGGGCCCGAAAACCGCGATCTAACCGAGCGAAGTGAGGTTAGAATCGTGGTTTATCGGGCCTAATGACATAAAAGTATTATCTGACGAATGTGACTTTACAATTCAAGCCGAAGGCGAGGATTATAATCTCTTTTGTACTATTTTGATACGTAAGTAGCGCAAACAAGCCAGAAAAGACGGTCGAAATTTTTTTCAATGGAATGGCCCCTGTACAACCATACTGATGATGGCTCGCCGAATTTTCAAATAAAAGATACATAGCAAATCATTTGTTGCTTTCATCTAAAAATGATTTACTTAGCTATCAAGTGGTAGAATGAGACAAACTGAATGATATGAGGAAGAAATAATTTTAGGAAATGAATATTAGAAGAAATCGTATATTGTAATTCAGAAAATTTCTCATAAAAACTCTTGGTCTTTCGATAATTTTTCGTAACTCCGATAATGATCAATTTAATTTGAGGATTAATAAAATAAAATTACTAAAACTATTTCTGTATTATGATTTTCCAAGTGTTTCGTTTTTGCAATATTTTATCCAAATTATTGGATTATTTATTGGATCCATCAATTCAATAAGTGAATAACTCACTTCTCGTATTGCGAAATAAACAGATATTGAACTGGTTAAATTCTCATCTGTGGTTGCTTAATCACACCATCGTTCCATTCGAAATGGATTTGTCAGTGAAATAAATGCACCCTTTCTAATGTAAGGAAAAATTCATTGATTCGATAGTTACATCCATGAGTTAAAGAGGGATACATGGAGCAATAATCTCAGGAACCAGAGATATTAGAATAATATCAAATGATATTTTTCATTGGGCATTTCGTCACCTATATACAGAAGATCTCTTGTCATTTTCTCCTATTTGTCCTCCGATTTTGTTTTGAAATGGATGCACACTCGATAGGGACGTATTATCGATTCAAAAAATCTTTTAATACGCTGTAAATCATTTTCATTGAAAACTCGGTTGTAGTAATTACTGGTGAAGTTATCACATTTTTAGCATAATGAATGATAATTTGAGATATCCATCAATCAATTTGTCTCACTCAATCACAAAATTGTTAAAATGCGATCTGTGCTTAATCACAAAGTAAACGATAACTCAATCAATTTGATAATGTTTAACAACCAGGACAATCTCACAATAAATTAGCAATACCAACATGCACGCTTTTTATTGATTAAAACATGAAAATTAATTCTCTCTTTTCTCACTTACCACTGAGATATTCTCCTTCTCAAGGTCACTTTTCTTGCTCTTTTTAGTTTTCTTGGTTTTTGGAGTGCTGATTTGCGATGCATCGTTGCTGCTCCCCTCGATTTTCTTCTTTTTGGTCTTCGTGATGCTCTTGGAGGTGGACGAGGTCACTGTGCTGGTTGTTATCACCTCTTCGTGGTTCTCGCTCTGCACGCAATAAAATTTTGTTAATACAAGTTGATCTTAAAATGTTTATTGGGTGTAAATTTTCTTACTCCCCTCCAAAAATTTGGTGATTCAGAAGACTTTCTTCTGGACTTTCTATGGTGAAGAACATTCAAAATAGTAATCAATATATTCGAAAATCTCTACCAAAATTGACGCATGTTCAAGCGGTCTGTATCCCTGGCGTTTTTTTCGGAGTATTTTGTACCATGTGCCAAGAGATTAATGAACATTCGCATCAACCATGGAATTCAACAGATAATTGAAACTATCAGACAAATGTTTTAAATAATTTCCGCCCTTTTTTCTTCACCAACGAAAATTTGTTGTTGAAATATTGATAGAATAGTGTTCACTATTATATTCGATCCACTTAGTTTTTTTCGCTTCTATTTTTCATATTTTTAATTACTTCTATATAATGATCAAAACTGATGTCTATCCAACTCTGTTAGTTCATTGAAGGGAATTATCGTCAACTTATGACCAAAGCTCTTTAGAATGCCCCCAAACTCACGATAAAAATTCTTTTTTCTTCGTTTTCTTACGATAAAAAAATGTCAATTAAAAAAATTAATCTTAAATTTAAGAGGAAAAAATGATAGGGCACCACATAGCCTTGAATAAAGGCTTGGAAATGCCTCAGTTCCACACGCGAGGACATTAAAACAAACGGTGGTCCTGCAGAATAAAGAAAGGACACGTCGATGTTAGCCATTCGGCTTTTTTTCATTCATTGAAATAAATTGGATTTTACAACAATAAATGAAATACCTACACTTCTAGAATTCTGTTTCATCCATTATTGCGAGAACTGGGGGAATAAAATGAAAGAAGACAGCATTGGGCCACACATCCGGCAGTTCAGGAACCGTAAAGACTAATAACTCTACCCTTTCTTCCACAGAACAATAACGTTACTCCAAAGGTCACAACTTTAATGATCACTCGTGTCGATTATTCTTCAACTGAAGGCTCTCGCTGGAGGATAAATACGAAACTACCGTCGGTAATGACTTGGAGGGACTGAAAATATGATTTTTTTTTTCCGTGGCGATGCCACGCGTGAGTAACGGTTAACGACATCGAATCCGGCCCGCCATGGAACTGTTGATGTTGTTAACGGATGCTATGTATTTATTGTTGAAGAACGGCGGAGTTTCACTTATGAGCTTTTCCATCTAAATATAAGCACTTGATTTTGTTCCTTATAGGAGGTTGATCCGAACACATGTGTTGGAAAAGTTTATTTTTAATATTTACCTGAAGTGAAGATTTACTTAGGTCGAAAACTGTAGGTAGGAGTTAGTTGTGACATTGTTATACATTTCTTTAGCTTAAAATTGGGACTTTTAAAAATAAAAAATTAAGGATATCCAAGTACTTCGTTCAAATTAGCAACTTTTTCTGAAACAAAATTTCAGTTTTGCCTTAAATCTTATAATCCCCATACTTTTCGGATTTGCTATTGTTGAATAAATCTTTACGGGAATTTCTTCAATGAATATAACCATAACATTGAAGTTTGTAGTTTTCAAGCAAAGAAAATTTTTAACATTTCATATCTCGTCAGGAAATTGTGATATCTATAAAAAATCAAATTCTATGAGTACGGTATGGAAAAATTTGAACGTGATGGTTGCTATATATGTTAAAATATGATATAATATTAAGAAATAGGCTAGTGTATTCAAGACAAGTTTGTGAAAAACACTCAACACGGAATATCTAGCCCTAGAATAACGCTTTTGAAAAAAGTAACAATCTCACAGTTCGAACTCAATGGAATCTCATCGTGATATTTTTTGGTTTTTCATTTTTTGTACCCATGGATGACTAATTCACTGATATGCAATAAAACTTTGTCAAACTGTAGCGTACACATGAGTGGCTCAATGGAAAAAACAAAAAAGGTCACGTTTAAAAAATAATAAAATCTCGTGACTGTTTTAAAAATATTTTTTCAATGCTCTACCTTCATTTTATGCAATGTTGTTTTTCCTGCGAATCATTAACCCTAGTTTGGTCACCATAGGAGGGAAACGCCGCAGAAGGTCGATTTTTTTTTTCTTACCATTGACTGGCTGAGCGGAAAAATCCTAAAAAATTGGAATGCATCAATTCAAGTGTCTAGAAGATTATAATATTTTTTGAAATTATTTATATCCACAATTCCTGAAGAAAAAAAATTATTTCTAACAGACGGGCAATTTTTTCCCATGTTAAATGAAATTGTCCGTTGTGTGACGTTGCCGAAGTCTCGCTAAATGCGCTCGGGCAGTATAGAGTGAATTCGGCAACGCTCGGGCCTAAATAACACGGCGGCGATTCCCTGCGGAGGTGACCAAAGTCGCAAGTTCTCATATGGTGACCAAACTAGGGTTAACATCGAATATCTCTGAAATTACTTGAGCGATTTTGAAAATACAGACACAAATTCTGAGTCATATTAATATCTTGACATGAAGATCTTCATAAATGGTTTTTCATTGTTCCAATCTCAAAAATTCGACAGGGAAATGCTATCAACAGAGAATATCTTCCATAAAAATAATGATATGGCGACGCAATGAAATGTTATGATTAAATTTTTCACCTATCCTTTTGTGAGCTCCGTGATTTTCCTCTTATTACCCATTCAAGAGCTGAAAATGTTATATAAACGAAAACCAATTTTTTATGGGCGTATAACGTGATAAAATGAATTCGCATGGCTCCACCCTTGAAAATGGAATCGACGCAGTCTTATAGATTATTTTACGCTGATTCCAAATCCGTTTGATAAGTTTCTCTAGTATAATTTTTGAAAGAAAAAAAATTATTGAAATATTGGAAACAATGCAAAATGGACAATTCGAAAGAAGAATAGTAGATTGCATGATTAGGTCCACAAAGTGTTTTCGGCCGAGTGATAAAACTAATCTTCCTGTACAATGTCTGTCTGTTACCAAGACAAGCTATATTTTATGATACACCCATGTGGAAATTCCGCTCAGATTGTCTGGGCCTAAGTCAGTTTTAGATCCTCTGCTGGTCAGGATTTTCTGATCAGATCTCCCGGATGAGGATCCAGTCATCGCCTGAATAGATTATCTGCATCCGGGAGATCGCTCAATCACTTCAGATCCTATTCTGATCAATCACAAATAGCCAAATTAGACTCAACATTTTTTATTCAGTTTGGATCTGAAACATCTGACCCCAACCCAAGCTTGGATCCGGGCCCCTATTCTCGACGTTGGTAAATTCTTCTTCATACATGAATTGCTGTTCGTTCACGAACAGTAGATGAGAATCGTATAGCCGATTCATTGAAAAATGCCGATTCGTACACGAAAAAAAATCACCAACTTCGAAAATAGGTACTAATCAGACGGATTTGATCTTACACTGGCCAGGGAGTTTGGATTCATTACTGAATGAATAATCAAAGTTATTCCATTTCATCAAGAATTTAATGGGCCATTAGCGTTTCAAAAAAATTAAAAAGGTCTTTGTATCGACTTCACTCTCCCCTAATCCTCACCTTCGGCTCCGATTATGAAGCCATATTGGCCGTAAAATACTTTGTGAATCTAATGATGCAATCTACTACTCATCTTCCGATTTGTCCACTTCGCCTCGTTTTTAATACTTTAACATTTTTTCCTCAAAAACTATGCTAGAAAAACTTTCTAAGCGGATTTGGAATCAGCGTAAAAATATCTATAAAACACAAAAAAATGAAATTTTATTTTAAGATTTCAAAGACCTCAAGTTGAGATTTTCGAAAATTTCAAGTTGAACACACAAAAAAGTCTAACGTTCACTGAACCCCAACCTTAACGGGTTGAATCAACCCCACTTATGGCTTTAACAGAAAAAAAATCTGAGGTTCATTGAATCTCTGCAAAGGTTGATTCAATCCTTCTTTGGGTTGATTCACCCCCAAATAGAGAGAATCTCCACAATGGTTGAATCACCCCCAATTTGGATGTAAATAAGCCCTTATTTGGGGATCATTCAAATTGAGGGTGATTCAACATTTGCAGGGGTTCAGTGAACGTTAGACTTTTCTGCGAAGCCTGAAAGTTAGTTACTTAAGACTTTCAAAGTCTCAACTTGGGACTTTCATAAGTTTTAATTTGAGATCGTAATTACGTATTCATACCCGGTAGCTTAGTCGGTAAGAGTGCCCGGCGCATATCTGGGAGACCCGGGTTCGATTCCCGTCTGGGTGAAGCGGAAATTTTTTCTCTCTAAATTCTAATTCTCTTGGAATTTTTCTTTTTATTACTTTTGGAGGATGAACACAACTGAATTTATTTTATCGCGTTATTCACCCATGAAAATTTGGTTTTGACTTGTACAGAGACATTTTCAGCTCTTGAATGGGTAAGGAGAGGAAAATCACGAACGAGAAGATAGGTGAATGATTTAATCATAACATTCCATTTCGTCGCCATATCATTATTTTTATGGAAGATATTCTCTGTTAATAACATTTTCCTGACCATTTTTTGAGATTTCCGGAATTAAAACAACGGAAAACCATTTTTGAAAAACTTCACGTCAAGACATTAATATGACTCAAAGTTTGTGGCTGTATTTTCAAAATCGATTAAGTATTTCCGGAGATATTCGATGTTAATGATTTGACAGAAAATCAACATTGCATAAAATGAAGGTAGAGTGTTGAAAAAATATTTTAAAAATAATCACGACAAGATTTTCCTATTTTTTAAACGTGACCTTTTTTGTGTTTTCCATTGAGCTCCTCATATGTGCGCTACAGCTCGACAAAGTTTTATTGCATATCAGTAAATTAGTCGTCCATGGGTACAAAAAATGAAAAACAAAAACATATCACGATGAGATTTCATTGAGTTCGAAGTGTCAGATTTTTATCTTTTTCAATAGCGTTATTCTAGGGATAGACATTCCGTGTTCAGTATTTTCACAAATTTGTCTTGAATATACTAGCTTATTTACTAATACTATATCATATTTTAACAAATATACCAACGATCACGTTCAAATTTTTCCATACCCTACTCATAGAATTTGATTTTTTTATAGATATCACAATTTCCTGATGAGCTATGCAATGTCAAAAAATTTTTGTGATTGAAATCTGCAAACTTCAATGTCATATATAACCTCTAATCGTCATACGGCCACACTGCACATGTTTCATATAACCTCGCAAATTCGGCCTGAGTAGTCACTTGTGAGTAGTCACGGACCACTGCCAGACGTCAGGAACGCGCGGATTTAAACCAATATGATCGTCTTACCAATCAAGAAGCTTTTAATTCGATTGTTTGCAATTGTTTGTTCGGAAACTAATGTTTTTCAATGTTGCAAAAAACCTAGAGACTGTCCAGAACAAAGCCATATACGGTTATGTGTACGAGAAAATGCTTTAAGATGATGAAATATTGGATTGAGGTGGACAGCTCTTATGGACGCAATGTGTTAAATTTCATTTTTCAAAAATCCGTTTCTCGAAAAAATATTCAGAAACTATGGTTGATATTACACCTGAAAAATACTCTTGATCGTTTCTATAAACTCTGAAAATTTTCCCCATAAAAAATTTGTTGAAGTACTTGAATATCCTTAAATCCGTGCAGTTAGCAATTAATATGTTCTTTTATTGCTTTTATTCTCAGACCCGGACAACTTTATTTATTTGAGAATTATTGAGAAAATACAATCAATTTCACATTTAATGATATTGGAACCTTCGTAAATTTAGCGAAATCGAGTGATTTGGCGGCCATTTTGAAAACACCTAAATTATGTGCTATTTATGTGCTTTTTTTTGGTATCCAAAAATTTTTTGCTATGCTGGGGTAGTGGAAAATGAGGGGGAAAAGCGTCGAAACCCATTAAACGCCATAACGGGAATTTTGGTTGGGCGAAGTAGTCCATAGATGTATGGAAAATTATGTGCTCATCAATATTCGTAAGCATAAATGATTTTTATTGCCAATAGCAACGTGTTCAATTATTTGTTATCAATGAATCTTCTTCTTCTCCTATGTCTACTGAATCGGATTTATAAATGCCTCGAGATTAATGTGCCCATCAATATTAGTTAACAAAAATTATTTTTATGGCAAAAATAGTTGTGTTGTATTTTTTATCAAAGACAGACCTAGTCACAGGACTTAGGCTCACAGACTAGACTCAGCTCACGCAGTATGTCTATTGACTTGGACTTATAAATGACTGGAGATTTATGTGCCCATCAATATTAACCAACAAAAATGATGTTTATGGAAAAAATAGTTGTGTTGTATTTTTTATCAAAGACAGACCGAGTCACATGACTTAGGCTCACAGACTAGACTCAGCTCACGCAGTATGTCTATTGACTTGGAATTATAAATGACTGGAGATTTATGTGCGAATCAATATTA